AAAAATATATATTTCGACGATACACGACGGTCAAGTTCTAAAATTGTACAAATGTGGCGTAACGGCATGATGTTGGATAGAAACACCTATAACGCGAGCACGAATATTGATCTGATAGTGCGTAAGCATTGTTCAAATATTAGTATTCGATTTTCGATCGGTAATAAGTAGATATGTTTCCATTTCTGTTTAAAATGCAATAACTCTCTCATAGAAATATTACACTGGCACTGGCGTTGCAGTGTAAGGGCGGGAGATATTTTCGCGAATTTTTCCATCCCGATTGAACGCATATCCCGCGTTTATTTTTCCAAAAACAAATTCTAATATTTGTGAAGCTCTAAATGCGAATGTTTAGCGACGTAATGGCGATTCTATTTGTACTTCGAAAGTGTGATATATATATATATATATATATATATATCGGTATACAAAAGATGGTCGATATTAAATCAAAATTAATGAAATACCGATGTTCCAACATGTAGATAATATCGTATCGATATTTGGCTTAGGTATATTAAGAATATGAATAATTTATCAAAGTGCGCATCAACTCCATTTGTGATAAATATTATCTAGTTTTCGAAGGGATATAATACAAATATCCGAAATTCTCGTTAAAATTCTCAATCTCTCGTATATTCCTTACACATTTTCGCACTTAAATTTTGATTTCGTTACATTCTTCGTAATACATCGGGGCAGATACCATATCTTTCCCCCCTTTTCTTTCCCCTTATTAACAAAAATTATTATTAATTATTATTATAAGAAGAATTCAACAGAGGAACAGAAGAGTTTTAGATTTCGTCTAATATAGAATTTGAGTTTGCAGAAAATATCGTACGCATCCCCACCCTATCTAAACTATCTTAACATTCGTTTCACGATTGTTAATTCGATATTTCTCGTTTTCGGAAATATCGGACAATATTCATGGATAAAACTTATCGTATAATATGTATTACCGGATATCTCATTTGCAGTATGCGGGTATTCCTATGAATTCGAGCACATTGAAATAGCGTATAATACCAAAGCAATATGGCATTATACTGTTAATAACGCGAAACCACTGTGTTATAATAATCCGTCAAAATGTGAAGCTTCTACCCGTCAGTTGTATCATTCAATTCGCCGTGATTGACGAGTCTATTAAGCTGGCATAGTGAATGCCTCGATGGAAATCAACGAGTTGTGTTTTGTAACGTTTATAACAATGGAACATCAGGCTACGGTAAACGTCATCGTTACGAATCTGCCTGGTCGCGGAAATCGCAGAAATCTTTGATAATATTTAAAATTGCTAGTTACTCGTTATGAAAAAAAAATAAAAAAAATAAAAAAAAAGAAAACGAAGTCTGTAACGTTGGATCGTTCAACGCGATTTTTTTCGACGGTTCGATTAAAAATACATGGACTTATGGTGAATTGTTGTACAACTTTTGATCAAAGAATCAAGACCGTCCGCGATTGTCAACATCTTTCGTGTTTTTTTATATATTAATAATTTATTAATAATTTATATAATATGATAAATATTTTATTATTTTTTTATTATGTTTATATGTTTATAAAACACTTGTATATATATTAGTATTAGCTGATTTAAGGGAAAAAATTCTGAATATAAAAATTATTATCAAATTCCATTCCAAAGTCCATCAGATTTTTTACTAAAAATATGAAAAATATTGAAAAAAATTGCGAATGATTCTAATTTTTTGAGGTTGTAACAGATATAGTAAGTAGAAGGTGTAATAATATAATAAACTTCCGTATAACACATCATATGAATATTTTTCAATTACAATTACACGATAAACTTGCTCCAGATTTGATGAAACGGAAAATAAAAATTGACACGACAATAATCATTCCAAACGGATTACTTTATATTACTTTCGTTACACCCACTATTCATTCGTTCCAACCACTACTATTTCTCGCCAAAAAGAAAAAGAAAAAAGAAGCTTGCACCTTAACCTTAAGAAGCATTCGAATTTTAAAATCTTAAAATTAAAAGTCAAAAGCTTCCTAGCCTATTCTTCCTATATATATATCTACTAAACTCACTTAACAACCAGATCGGATTGCACACCCCTAACTAGCCCATTTAAATGTCCAGGTGACCGACTCGAAGGATCTCCAAGTACCGTTCAGCACCGCGGCATCTCTCGGCTACGGCCTCCATCATATGCTCCACCTGCCACCCCAATTTCTCCACCCTTTGGATCACCGTTTGCCGTTCGGCGGGTTCAGGCCCC